GTTTAGGGTTTTAGGGTTTTGGGTTTTGAATTGTTTAGGGTTTTAGGGTTTAGGATTTTAAGTGTTTAGCGTTTTAGGGTTTTGGGTTTTAAGTGTTTTAAGTGTTTAGGGTTTTAGGGTTTAGGGTGTTAAGTGTTTAGGGTTTGGGGGTTTAGGGTTTTCACTGTTTGGGGTTTAGAGTGTAGCGTGTAGGGGTTATGGTTGATCTTCCTTCCTTAGGGAATTTAACGCCATTCTCCCGAAAGCTGCTCCCGCGGTATATGAGGCTTACTAAGGCCAAAAACGATTGGAAAATCCGGGAAGGGTACGTTTGGGGGTAGAGCACTGTAACCTTTCATTCCTGGTATAATCCCTGGAGCCTTAGCAGAGCATGAAGGAATAGTACGTAGGGATGATCAGAAGGGTTTATTTTGAGGATAAAAAATGGGCTTGCGTGATATCCTACCAGAAAATAACCAAAAGCAAAATATGTTCTTACTCTCAAGATGAAGCCTATGGCACTGGGTCCAGGGTCCATTATATGTAGTTCTTGCAATACGACAATCCAGGGCTTAAGGTGGATGTCATGGTCCCAACCCTAAACCTAAACCCTAAACCCCAAACCCTAAAGCCTAAACCTGTATGATTCAGCAGACCATGCCCTGCTATGCGTGGCCATCAAGCCCAGGCGCATGGGAAGCCCATGTCAAATAACACTGTTGATTCAGCCCCCCAAGAACACTAGTCACAGATATATATATATATATATATGTGTGTGTGTGTATACACACAGATATATATATATGAATATATATACGCATACACATGCACACACGTGGCCTTATTTTGGCCATGACATTCCTTAACAGGATAGCCAGTAGAAGCTTTGCCAAGAACGTGGCCCTACAAGGCCCCTGGCGGCACAGGGTATGGGGTCTAGGTTTACGGTCTAGGATTTAATCTAAGAGTGTTCTGACAAGTCTTCTGCTTGTTTTCTTTTCGATGCCCAATAAACATCTAGAGGTTTTGTGTTTGAAGAGCAAAGGGGCTGCAGCGTGACATAAGCCCGTGCAGGCGATTTTCTGCTTCGAAGCTTGCAAGAACACCTCCTGACCTAGCAGGTCTGTAAGTCTGAACCCTAAAACCCACACCCTTCATGTAGGTTGGGCGTGCAAGAGGACGTCTCGCAGAAGATTTCACATGGAGTTCTAAGATGAATCTCTCTGGGAAAGCATGAGGTAGCCCAGCTCAAATCCTCAATCAACAAAACGAAGAAAAGTACAAAAGCCACACCCCTTTTCTATGACATTAGCACTTTGGGGGTTCTCCTTTTTACATCAAGGGAGCTGAAACACGTGCATTGGTTTACAGAGCATCCAAGGTTTTCAACAAACTGGCCAAACCCTGAACCCTAAACCCAAAGCCCTCTAAAGGTGGGGATACGAATCTTCAAAATCCAATTCTCTCGACTGGGCTCCCCAGTAATTTGACCCCAAGCCTTTTTGTGTGAGGGTTTAGGGTTTGGCCCAGACACTCGACTTGGTTCAGGAATATACCTTGAATAAGGACAGGGATCTAGTACCAGTTAGGGTATAAGGTTTAAGGTGCTAGGGTATTGGTCTCTCTAAGTTAGGAATATGGGAATGCATTATTGGGACTGTTGTAAATTTTCTTCTGGGGGCTATACGAGGACTACTGTAGAAATCCATTGTCCATTCTTGTATTTTCAACTGAGCATGAGTCGGCTATAGGGCTTCAGCCAGAGGATGGGTTGTACTAAGATCGAGCCTGACCATCGGCTTCTTCATCCCTGTAAAGGACCCTCAGCAATCTCAGCATAAAACCACGCCCCTTGTTACATATAACCTGGGTGTTTCCGGAGCCTGCCAAAAAGGGTAAACCCTGAACTCCAGATCTTAAACCCTAAACCCTAAACTCTGAACCCCAAATCCCAAACCCCAAACTCTTAACCGTCAACGCCTAAGACGAGCAACCCCACTGGACTGAGGGCAAGCGAGGATCTGAGGAGGGGCGGAAAATGCCGATGGCTTGTATCAGGGTTTAGGGTTTAGGGATTTAGGGTTTGGGTTTAGGTGTTTGGGGGTTTGGGGTTGAGGGGTTTAGGGTTAAGGGGGTTGGTTCAGGTGCTTTGTCATTGAGGATCCGAGGTTGCAGGGTGCATCAGGGGGTTGTCCTAAAGAGCTTTGTAAAGGAAAGATCATAGGGAATGCGCTCCCTTGAAGGGGGTTCGAATCGAAACGGACACCTACCTTCTGGCCATCTTGGTGGCTGGGTTCTTTCAGCCGGCATGCTGTTGTTCTGTTCTTGGCTTGGAGGCAGAGTTTCATGATGAGAGGATTTCTATAGCAGTCCTTATATTCACTCCAGAAGTTCCTTTGCACCCCTACATCGAACCCACACCCTAAGCCCTGAACCCAAAATCATACAATAGTGCAGTGAGGCAACATGGATTTCCAAGCATTAAGGGTCCCTTCTTATCAGAACTATAGTAGTTTGGGGTCTACATTGGGGTTCCATGATCTTTTTCCATTTTCTAACCCTAAACCCCAAACCCTAAACGGAAACCCTAACCCCAAGTATTACTTTCCAATCTGTTTGCCATTCACTCGACCCAACTTCGATCCAACGCTGAGGTGGAAGCCTAAAGAGCCGACCGCTGTGAAGCAGGAGGAAACCTAGGTAGGGAAATAAACAACTTGAAACCAGGTACCAGGTAATATCCCATGATCTCTTGGGTTTAAGGGTTTAGTTAGGGAAGGAAGAAAGTGAAACCAGGTAATATCCCATGATCTCTTGGGTTTAGGGGTTTAGGGTTTAGGATTACCCTTGCAAGAGAACACTCGTGTTTCAAACCTACCTACCTAGAGGAGGACACCTAGTGAGAGTGGCTTTTGAGCCCTCTCGGTGTCGAACTTCGGGGAGACAGAGCTCGGGGACGTGCAGACTTTTTACAGCATACCTAGTGTATCCAGATAGAGCCTATGAAAGCCTTTAGTCATACAGGTATGTAATATGTACACAGATTTTTACATATACATTTATATATATAGAGAGAGAGCTTATGTGGAAAAAGTGTCAGAGGGGAGGTCCCCTTCAGGTGAATTGCGTTCCCCGATCTCGGAGTACCCCTGCCAGAAGCTTTAAGAAACGCAGAGGGTTTTGTGAGATAACGACTTTCCATTGCCTCTCCTGGGATGGCATGTAAGATAGCTGCTGGACCCAGATCCTTGGGAGGATCTAGAAGGTAGAACCTATAACATGGTTCCCTCTGTTGCTTTTTGATGAATTTCCAGGAACCCTTGAGGGGGAAACCCTCAACCCCAAACTCGAGACCCGAAACCCCAAACCCTAAACCTCAGACCCTAGGAATCGTGAAGAGGGTTCTGATTTTTTAGATCCTCCGGGGGGTCGGGGGTGGTGTGCGTTTTGTGAAGGCTTGGCAAGCCAGGAATGCCCTCGGTCTCGAGGTCTTTTGGTGCCTGCCTTGAGGAAGAAGTATAGGGTTTCTTTTGGATTTAGGGTTAAGGGTTAGGGTTTAGGGTGTAGAGATTTAGGGCTTAGCGTTTAGGGTATATAGAAGTAATCTAGGAATAAGATATGGTTAAACGGATTATACAAGGATTATATGGGAAGATGTAGGAACTATGGAGAGGCAATATAGGGATTATATGGGGGGAAAATGGGGACTATAGAAGGGTAGCATACGGGTTATATATGATAGTAGAGGAGAAAGGGAGTAGATAAGGGTAATGTCGGGACATCGGGGTAATTTCGGGACTATAGACGGATAATATAGGGGAGTAGAGACGGGTAATATAGGGCTTAGAGATATTACCACAATTATGGAGAACCAAACGGAAAAGAAAAAGGAGGACGAAATGGAAAGTGGGGATGATAATCAAAATCCTGCAAGACCAATGATGGTACTATGGTATACTAAGCTCACGTAAGTACTTCAGTATCAACAGTGACCCATGGTTTTCAGTTTAGTCTCCCTGTGTTGCGGCACCACAGAGGGTAAACAGCACACAGAATCTGATTTTTCGATTCCTGCACCAGAGTACCGACTGGCGGCGGCCCCTGTTAAAAAAGACTTTGCAGACCTGCAGATGGAGTTGGGTTGTATTTTGTTTTTGAGCACTATAGTGATGAATATTCCTTGGTTGTGGGGTGGTGGGGATTTTGTTACATGGGGAGGTGATCATTACATGTGGTAGCAGGCTTTCGTTGTGGTAACAGCCAGTAGCAGCATCAGCAGCGGCAGGGGCGGAGAAGCTTTATGAGGTGCAGGCAGCAGGAGGGGGAGGAGAAGGAGGCGGAACCCGAGTGCGCGGGATTCAAGCTTCAGGTGTCGCTGCGCCAGGCACTGCACCGCTCTGCATGAGAGCGCGGACACTGGGTAGGCCCTGGGATATTCAATATTGATATTTTTCAAAGGGTTTTAGGGGCCAACCCAGGACAGTAGAGTTGAAGATCTGTCTAAGCTTTCGCAGCAGCTTTTGCCATTCGAGGGGGGGAAGGGCAGACTGTCATAGAAGCTCACTCTTGCAAGATGGTGGGGAGATCCTTCACCCTGAAGACTTCCAAAAGCGAGCTGGAGGACGCCTCCTACTATAGCACCTGGGCGCGTACCCAGAGGAACAAGCTACCAGAACCCTCCAATGACGTCCCCTACGGCCTCACTACTCGCGACCAGGGACCCGGTAGTCCTAATTCAGGGTACTTGGAGGGTCCGGGCACATTCTTGAACATTTTCAGTCCCAGGTAAGCAACCGCACCAATCCCGAGTGAGCAGAAGCACAATCCAGAGATGGGTTGAGTTTTAGGGTTTAGGGATTGAAGCAAAGAAATCTGGAAGGAGAGGTAGGCGAGGGTGTACTTCCTGCGCAAGCCCATGGAAGTCCCGTAGACTTCTTAAATCCTAGCTCATAATCTCAAAGCTCTAGGAGCGAAGAAAATGGGGCTTTGCCAATATGGATAGTGAAACCACAGCCTCCTAGGCATCGGCGGTGGATGGCTGGCAGTTGCTATTGTTTTCATAGCGGGCTTCTCGATTATGGGCTTCACCGGCAAGATCATCTATGACAACGCCCCACCAATTCCGACATTCAGGCTTCTTGGCAATACCGGCTTCACAGGCGTCATCTGCGGTTGATGGTAGTTTCCCAGAAGAGGGGACCCCAACGCAGCCCCCAAAGCACCATAATCCTTATTATGGGGCCCCCAAAAAAACATCCCTAATTTCGGGAAACCCTTAATCCTAAGCCCTAAACCATATGTGATCCATGTATATCCCACATATAATATATCCCCTATGCAGTACCCATAATTCCAGGCAACCCCGATATCACTCGAACCCAAGTTTCTGGACGTTTGTCATTGAAACATGAGCGAGGCCCCAAAGGATCACAGACTGAGTTCATGACCACATTGGACTGCCTCTACAATATTATTAGCAGTATTAACGCTATTCTGAGTATGAGTATTATCTTTCTTGATATTTTTGTAAACCCGAAACCCTAGACCCTAAGCCCCAAGTCCTGGGAGCCCGCATTCTGGAAGGAATGTTTCAGCATGCCTCCAACACAATACCCAGGAGCAGATATGCAATATGCAGCTGTCTCATGCTCTGCTTATGAACTTTACCAGAACCCCTTGAAATTTTCAACTTGAGCTGATTGATTTTGAGGCATATTTGGACTTGTTTAAGTAGGCTTATGCCAGCGGATGATGACCCCACGACATGACACCTACACCATAATAGCGATACATAGTAGATGATGGGGGGGTTCATTCTAAACCCTCAACCCTAAACCCTAAATAGGGCTTAGGGTTAGTTGCTAAGCCCAGTATCCCTACAGCTCTTCCTGTTCCCTTAACCCATCAAGGCTGGAGAAAGATGGCCCGGTTCTCTGGACAAGTGAGGATATCCTGGAGGGACAGCAGACCCTTGAGCTTGAGGGTTTAGGGTTTAAGGTTTACCTTGCCCGATCTCAATCAAAATCCAAGGTTAGAAGTCTGGGCCCCCAATATGGGCCCTTAGGCCTTTTAGGGAAATTCTAGGAACCCTCAAGGCTACGTATACAGTATAAAACAGGAAAAAGGGTGCCAGGGTTAAGGGCCCATACGAAGCCCATGGTTTCAACCTTAGATCACATGGCGACTCATATAGGAAAGGTTCCAGAAAAGAGGAAGATCCAAAGGATAGGGCACTCTAAGCCCCAAACACACATACTGAGAGTCTTTAATCCCTACAATACCGGTTAGGCTAAGTAATTAAACCTTAAAGCTTGCAGGAAGCCCTTAAAGCCTAAGGTAAAACCCCAAAGCTGAAACTAAGTCCTGAAAGCCTGAGGATTAGGATTCTCAGGGCCCTGAACCCTCGACCCCAAACTGCGTGGCTCTATTCTACTTGTTTTTTTGGGACTTCCAGTACTCTTGCTCTTGCTATGAAATATTCATACGCAATAATATATCATTACCGCTACCATTTACCATTGTTATAACCCTATCACTTTTACTGTGGATTATTAATTTTCTTAGTATCGCTATTAAAAGTATCATGCCTAATGTTACGACTGGTACCATTACTCAAAACCTAAAACCCTAGCTCTAAACCCTGGAAACCCTAAAAACCCTCAAACCCCAAAAAGCCTGAGGATTTGGCAGTCCATCGGCGGACAGCAGGTGGGCCAATAAATCCCAACAAGCCCTAACAAGTCCTAAGAAACCCTAATAAACCCCAATAAGCCTTCTTAAAACCCAATAAGCTCTATTAAAGCTTACGAAACCCTGCTAAGCGACTAAACCCTAGTAAGCCCCAAGAAGCCCAAAGCAGCTGCAATAAATCCAAAGAAATTCAGAAACCATAGAAAGCCGCAATAAAAGCAGGTGGGCTCGGTTTGGGGCCACGGCGCGCTCCAGGCTCCCGACTGGTCAGCAGACTGGCTCCACCGGGAGGCAAGAAATTAGGGGGTTGTCTGGGGGTTATATAGGGATATGTAGGGATTTTTAGTTGGTTTAGGGTTTATTGGGGTTTCTTGTGGCGTTTTGGGGCTCTGTGGCGTTTACTAAGGTTGACTATGGGTTTGATTGGGGGGTATATAGGGATATAAAGGGGTTTGCTTGGGAGGGCTTTGGGATTTATTGGGGATTCTTGGGCCCATAAACTGCACTTCGAAATGTGGTATAACACGACGCAATTGATACGGTGTAATCTAGAATATTGTAAAATGTGAGATAAAGTGGTATAATATTAGCACCCAAATCCCGAGATGTCAACTATTGGGCCCCTAGACCTTAATCCTAAACCCTAAACCCTAAATCCTAAACCCTAAACCGCATAGAGCAAAGTGAGGGCTCTCATGTCATAACCTTGATATTTGAGGGCTTGCAGCTCAAGGTACACCTATGTGGCCCCCTGAAATCCCACATACGCCTAAACCTTAAACCCTAAGCACTAAACCCTAAACCTGAAACCCTAAACCCTAAACCTTGAACCTTAAACCATACCTCCAGAAATCTCCAGGAGACCTATTTGAGAACCCTCCCCCTGCCCCATGTGAGGCAGTATTTTATTTGGGGATACTATGGTACCCAATATAGAGTAAGATTCTATCCTCCTTTTGGGGTATAGTATTTTATATAAGGAATCTAATCTTACTAGGTTCAACCACCCAAAAAAAACACTACTCAATATAACCCTAATATAACCCCAATGTATACCCTGTTATAATATGGTAGTTTCCATTTTCTTTTCCATTATCCCTATATTACTGGGTATAAACCCTAAACCCCTAAACCCTAAACCCTAGGTTCAACCACCAACAAAAACACTACTCGTGTGAGGCAGTTATGACCCTGGAGCTCCTGGGATCCAACTCGTCCACGTACATCCAGACGCAGGGCAGAGATTATTGTTTAGGGTTTTAGGATTTTAGGGTTTAGGGTTTAAGGTTTTAGGGTATACGGTTTAGAGTTTTAGGTTTTAGGGATTAGGAGCATTGAGGTCAAGCCACCTGATTCGATTGTCTTGGTCTGCCTGAAGCTACCACCTTCGTGCTATGTGCTGCGTGATCACATAGGCTTACTGCATCAGGTTCCTCTCCGGCTATCATACAGGACAAAAATGGTCATGAACAAGGCTTCTATTGGCATTAGCCTCTCTTCAGCGTAGGGGTGTCCTTTTTTTGTTCCCCTCATTCTGCCCAACAAGCAGTCCCGTGCTGATGTCTACCAGCCAAGAGGAGGCGGGCAAGGAGCTTCAGGAGATGTTTGGGAATATGCTCCGGTCACTCTCGACACGGATGCAAGAGGACAAGGAGCACACGGACCACAAGCGCAAAGTGGCCACACCCCAACAGTCCAGGCGCAAACAAGGCAAGGGCAAGGGCCGTGGACGCTCAGACCAGGGGAGGGTAGACGAGACAGCGGACCCGAATTTGAGGGATGTCATCCGGATGCTGTTGCGACACGAGGGCCAACTCAGTCGCCTGAGCATGGACACCACGGTTCTCTTCACCTTCATGAACCGGCCCCAGCACAAGGAGAACATCCTGCCATCTCTATGGCGCATATCCCAGCAGTGGAAAACTCAGATGGAGGGCGACGTCAAACCCACAATGTCCTTGAGGGTGACGGTGCTATAATGCCTGTTCCTGGAGTTGGAAGCGCGAGTCAAGGCCGCAGTTCAACCCCCACACCTAGAAGTGTGTCAAAGGATGGGATGGCTGACATCCGAGTGCAAGTGGACGCTCTTGCAGTGGCAACCCTCCACGCAGACCTTGGTGCCAGCCGCGGACCAGGCAATCGAGCACGAGACGCTGCTCGAGATTCTCAAGGACATCCGCACTCATGCGATGACGGAAGGAGCCCTCTACCGGTTCCAAGCGAATCGCCCACTAGCAGAGGAAATGACAGGTCATCAGGTCACGTTCACGGCGGAAGCGGGCCTCCGCACGCCGGGGGCGCTGCAACTTTACGATGCATTCACGAAGCTCATGGGGAACGCATCTCTCCAACTAGTGGCATTGCGGATGCACAAGCCTCGGTTGCAACCCTCGGCGCTTGCGAGCACGCTCCAGCAGTCCTTGCGAAGGTCAGATCACTCAGGTTAAATAACCCCCACAACTTGTGTTATGCAAACTCTCTGTCACTGGCGTGGATTTGGCTGTCGGGACTTGACCCAGGTGAGCCCGAAGGTCATTTCGGCGGGAACGCCCAGGCCTTACGTACACTGCTTGAAATATCTACCAGTAGCATAAACCTCCTGCAGATTTTGGCCTGGCAGCCGATCTGGCGGGGATGGCCGAACCCTCATCTTCAGCAAGATGCACAGGAATTTTTCGCGCACTTGCAGGCCGCGAGTATGAAGTTGCAGATTTGGGCACCACTTCCCAAGGCCTTTCGATACCTGTCCCCCAACACCCTGATACATTGGATAACTGCATTAAGTCGTGGTGTCTACAAGCCCATAAGCATGCGTTGACGGTACCGCCCAAATGGCTTTGCCTGCACATGCTCGGATTCACTCATGACACAGGCATCATACGCAAGTCTGACGTGCCCATTGGTTTCCAGGCGGGGGAGCTTGTGTCAGTGCCGTGCTTCGTCAATGGCTTAGACCTGCGATGGATCATGTGCAGAGTATCCTCAGGCGTAATTCACACTGGTCCCACCCCGCATTCAGGACACTACCGAAGTTTCCTGACCGAGCGTCATGGCAGAGGTAGAGCTGGAAGGTCTCACAAATTTCGGGTCACTGACGATGGCACTCCATCCAGACTCGCCACACCTGAGCTTAATCATCTCATACAGACCCAGTGCTATCTTTGCTTCCTCATCAGACAAGAGGATGAGAGCCATCGCTTAGCGCGCTGCGGGGGAGCAGGGTCAGCAGGATCAACCAGATCAACCAGATGCCGAGTGGGGAGCTCAAATCGAAAGACGGGCGCTCAGCAGGAAAAGTCCAATCCGTAAACCGCCGGAGTGTTGGTATGTTTAATGCTGTGCCTCGCTCACCTTCTTGGCTGACTGTGAGTGCTGTTGTTCCTTCTTGGCTCATGCCTTTACACACTTCAATGCCCTTCATCATCATCATCATCATCAACTTTCCCATCCAACATACTTTAGTGCCGGTGGTGCGCGGTCTCCGCCCCCGTTGTACAGACATGTAGCTTGCAGTTCCCTGGAGTGCCGGATGCCTCTGGGTACAGGAAGTCGTAGTGTACAAATTTTGTTTGTTGGTGCCCGCGGGCACTCGTGCCGGGTCAGCTCTCGCTGCAACAAGTTGCGGAGAGCGAAACATAGCCATACTTATTGGCCACATGCAATGCCATGTGTAAGCCGCGCTAGGTGTGTTACAAATTCGCCGCGTTCGCAAAGCAAAGCAAAAGCCCAACAAACAGTCCGGCGCTCTGTTCCCGATTATTTGGGCACCTACATTTCCTTCTTGACTCTTGACAAGCCCTAGACAAACCGGAACAAACCCTTAGACAAAAACAACTTCCACTTCATTCTCGGTGAGAGTAGCTACTGAGTGAAGACAGCGGCCCCAAGCATGCATGTAGAATTCAAGAGTCGTCCATCGGACACAAACGGCACATGAAAAAAGTCTCTCTAGGCCTCATATATCCTGGACCACCCTCAAGGAAGTGTTGATGTGGCCCACCACGCAATCGTTGAAAGCAAGATTTGTTTCACCATGATTTTTTTGATTCCAGCCAGACATCAAGAATATGGCAGTCCCTGGCCAGCTAGTCGGCTTGGGCTCATTGTGTTTCCACAATGAGTTTCTGAATTCACACAGGCAAGATGACAAAAGAAGCAGCAAGCTTCACGGGATACAAGAATCCCTAACTTGGACCCCAAAAATCCTTTGTACCACACCCATGTATCACTAGGTTCCCCATGCACCCCGCTTTTGAACCCCCCAGCATCCCAACAAACCTTGACCCTGAACCCCTGAACCCTAAATCCCTAAACCTTAAATCCTAAACTCCTGAGCCTGAAATCCCTAAACCCTAAGCCTCTAGACACTAGACCCCAAGCCCAACCTAGGCATGTGCGCAAGAACACGTACAACTCCGAGACCAACGAGGTCACAATTGGCCACGCCAGGGCTAAGGCTGCGAAGATTTTTCGGTTTGAGGTTTTGACTGTTTAGAGGTTTAGGGTTTAGGGTTTAGGGCTCAAGGTTCAGGGTTTAAGGTTAGGGTTTAGGAGACTTTACTGTTTAGAGGTTTAGGCTTTAGGGTTTAAGGTTCAGGGTTTAGGGTTAGGGTTTAGGAGGCTTAGAGCAAAGAAATGTATTTACGCCTAATTAGATGGGGTTTAGGATTTCGGGTTCAAGTTGAGAATCAAATGGACAAGAAAATGGAAAATGAAATGGAAGCGGGAAGTACCTCTGGGTTTACAGAGAGTGGTAGAGTTTCCAAGACTTAGAGGTGCCATTTTGGGGTTCCTAGAATAAGGATCATAGTTAATGTACCTATGAAGCAATGTTTGTACATACCATGTTATTTTTGCTTGCTTACTATAACATAATGTCACTCTCAGTCCGATCCAACAATCGTGCGAAATAGTTGGCCTATCTCAGCCTCAAGAACTGATGGTGAGCTATGGGGTTGTCTCGATGTAGAGGGGAAGCGTTAACTAGCGCTTCAGATTGTTTTGCCGGCAAAGCTAGACAAATCAACAGAACGAAGATTTGTTTTATTCTATGAGAAAAGGTACCTAAGTAGATGGCGGGTTGAGCCCAAAGTTCCTATGAACCCAGTTGGACCCAAGTTATCTGCCATTTTTGGACAGTTGAGTCTTCAGGGCTGGTTGTCAAAGTCATAGTGTTGCAGGCTTCCCTTCCCCGAATAGTAAGCCTCACCTCACCCCCTTCCCCCGATATTAAAGATTCCCGGAATATTGTAGTATATACCACAAAGGATATATGGTGTTTTGTCCCGTCTCGACAGCCCCCCGCCTCCCCATGGTATGGTCGCCTCACCACCAGCCCCGGACTCCCAAAAATGCGGACAGTCACAAGGATGGTGGGTGTGTCCAAGTCACGACGTCCTTGTATTTGAGGCCTCGGAGATGCCATTCTCGCAACTTTCGTCGTTTTTTTTGATGTCAAAGATCTCACAAGTGCCGACAGTCACACGGATTGTGGGCGCCCTGGTGACAATCGTCGAAACTGTCATCGTTTTTCCTGTCGCAGATGTCACAAGATCTCAAAAGTGCCAGCTGTCACAGGGATGGTGGGTGTCCTAATCACCATCCCCATAACTGTCACATTCTTGACGTCACAAATTTCCAAAGTGCCAACGCTCAGAAAGATGGTGGGTGTCCGAATCACGATCCGCGAACCGTCAGTATTTTTGATGTTGCAGATCCCCACATGTCAATAATCACAGGGATGGTGCATGTCCCCCACCACTCCCACCACAGGGGGGAGGGGAAAGATCCGAACCACTTGACACGAATGGTGGCACTTATTGAAGGAAAGACCACCGCCCACACTTCAGGGGAGGGAGGAGGTGTGAATGTTTTCAACACAAGATGATGCTGACAGTTTTGGGAGGAAGCGCGCTCACTACACCACAGGGGTGCAGGGGGAAAAGATCTGAATTGGTTAACAGTCATGGAAGAAAGCAAACCCACCAAACCACAGGGGAGGACAAGGATCTGCCTGCCCTCTCCAACATGCAAGTCTTGATGCTGCAAAGTGACAGTCACTTACCAGAATGCTGAGAACTGTGGGACCTGGTACCAATACCATATGTTGGGCATCAATGCAGCATTGCTCGCTGTCCCTCAGTGCCATGAGACTCTGCACATGAACTATGAAACATTTTATATCTTTGTAGGTAAAACGAAAGCCCTTCAACTTAAGGTGTCCGCCCCTGTTATGTTCCTGCAGCTATCCCTACATGACATCTATACTCCTGGGAGGTGCTTCGTAGGCTCACGAAATTCTACGTGGCGCTCTTTACCGGAGCCCCCAGCTCTCCCGAGGTCGGGCGCCAATCGGCGCTTCCCAGAATTCTAGTGAAAAAGTTTAAGGGCTAAGGCTTTAGGGTTTAGATTACATGACCCAAAATCAGATGGAAAAAACGTGCAAAAGTGAATCAATGCTCGGATTACATTTGTAGATGGGGTGCATAATGGAGAAACCTAACTGATTACCAACGTTTGGGTCGCAAGTTCCTTACATGGTTATGGTAAGGTCCATGTAACCCCATTTTTATGGAAAGATGAGCTTGTGTTGGGATCAGGGAACACAGGAACGAGCTGTGGGTCTTCAGCTCCTGTACGGGCTTTGTATTGCATTGGGGGAGGAAGGCTCAAAATAATTCTCCCCCCTTAACCCAGCCATCCCTCAATAAAAAGCTACGCCAACATAATACCAGTATAAATAAGCGGAAGATTTCTGATTGGAGGGTGGGGGGAGGGGGTTTTAGGGGGATGGGGTTGCAAGACTCCGATCTCCTGTTCTTTTGTTTAGTGGGACTTTCATGGGAACCCCAAAACAGGGAACCCCCAAAATAGGGTAGGAATAGAATAGGAGTTTACCTACCAGGATCCTCATATTCTTATCATTCTAGTACTACCATATTCTTGGAGTTCAGTGTTTGGGGTTTCCCATTTTGTTGCCTTCAGTGTTCGGTTTTGGAGCTGCCATCAAAACCAACTACAAGGATGCCCATTGCTGACGAAGCGAAAGCTTGCTATGACCTCCTTATGGGCGTATACAAAAGCGGTTTAGGGTTCAGATTTTATGGTTCAAGGTTTTTGAGTGTCCTAAAAGGGCCCAAATTGGTTTTGACTTTGCTGATTCCGAACCCCCCAATAAACAGCTACAATTCATTTTGGTGAGGGTTCCCGAGAAGATAATCCCTGAACCCTGAACCCATAAACCTTAACCCAATCCTAAACCCTAAACCCTAGGCTGGTCAGCAAGACCTCTCCGGCCTTGCAGGAATCCTTCCATGATGGTTGTCATGGGGCTTCTACTACCCATACTTTTGGGGGGAGCTAAGGAGCTAGGGTTTAGGGTTTAAAGATATTCTATATCAATATAATAAGGGGAGCTAAAGAGCCCAGGAATCTCCAAAACCATAGGGGAGTCTAGTTCATGAGTCATGAGCTAGAGTGGTTTTACGGTTCAGGGTTTAGTGTTAGGGTTTAAGGCATTGGGGGGTTCAGAGCGTAGGGGGTCTAGGGCCAAGGAGCGCAGGATTTTAAAGGGCGCTTTGCAATTAAGAGGCAAAACTGGGCCTTGACACGCTGTCTGTAAGTACGTAAACGCCTTATCCAGGCACACGTCAGGAACGCTTTATACTTGGGATATGGGCTTCTTTATCAAGTACAGTGAGACTGTGGCCACGAAAGAGCTTGCATACAAAGGTTTCCGCAAGAGTCCAAGTGCCTCTCCCGAAAAGGCCCATCAAAGACTGCTGTCATTCCAAAGGCCGGCTTTTTTGTCAGTTAGTTTGGGCCCACAGCAATTCAATTGGGCCCTATGCAACTCCATTATGAGGGGTCCAATGTATTCAACCATTCAATTACTTAAACCCTGAGGGGCTAGCGCCCACACGCTTACACAGAGACTCTGCCAATGACTTATTGTTTATTCCAGGTTTGCAATACAGTAGTACATTATAGTACCTATTATAGTATATTGTAGTATATGATAGTACATTATAGTGAATTATGTTTAGGGTTTAGGGTTTCTCCGCTTTTCGTGGGATACTCAGTTTTCATGGTCAAGCCGGACCCTAACACTTTAAATCCCCTCCCCTAATATTAAGCCCCTTCATATTAAATACTCCCAATATAATATCATATACCACATAATGGGAGTATTTAATATGGGGGGGTCGGCGGGGCTTAAAATTAGGGGGAGGGGATTACCGTTACTCTTACTTTTTCTTCTGTTGGGCTGCTGGCGGAGGTTGAGAACCTTCCGAAGATGCGCAAGCTTTTCCAGGTCAAGGACCTAAATGGACCGTCACAAAAACTGGGTCATTGTTGGATATAGGTAGTTGTCAAAATTGCGCCCTGTTTGAGGTGGGTTCCCATCATAATACATCCCCAAGATATTATGACAAACTAGCATATGATTTCATTCCTGAAAGCCCAAGAGAAAATGTCGAGGTACCACTTCAAACTATATTTGAAGAAGGAACCAGACAAGGAAACGAATGAATTTGCTGTAGGTATTTGGGGTTTAGGCTGTAGGGTTTAGGGTACAGTGTTGGCATGGCATGCCAGCTTGGACTATGCAAAGTTTATTCACACATGGTAGTTTCCCAAAATAGGGGGACCCTAATATAGACCCGAAAATACCATAATCCTCCTTATAGGGACCCCAGAAAGGTACCCCTAATCTTGAGAAACCCCAAATACTTCCTGAACAAATCCTGCCACATATGGGAGACTCCCCTGCAATCCACTGACGAAGTGCCTTTATCCCTCGTGTTTTTAAAGGGCCCATTGGGGTAATATTAGGGTTATATCGGGGTTGTATGGGGATGATTAAGAAGAAAATGGAAACTACTATGTAGAATTTGGGGTCCCCCTCTCAGCCCGCAAATGATTTGGAGAGTCGCCAGGGTTGAAACCCACGAAGACAACCGAGATGCGGGGGTAGTCGATATCATTCGCAGCGTCGAGAGCATTCCCATTCTCTGTACTATAAGCTGCTACTATATACCCCGAAGAATTGAAAACCAATGATTGGGATGCATTCATAGGGGTCATGTAGAAGGTCCCTTCCCTGATATTCAAGGTACTCGCAAACAATGTCCGTAATTTTGACAAATCTCGGGATCTACCCTGAGAGGGTTGCTCAAATCTTTGCGGGTTCCTTGACATTGTTAAGGCTGCACTGTGAGAGACAATCGTCTTCCCAGGGCCCGGTTTTTTGGCTTCCATATTAGCTTGAGGAGAGTAATTAGCGATTTTTGGCCAGGCAACTCAGCAAATGGATAGAGCGGCTCAAGTAAAGGAACTCAGCACGATGAGCCGCTGAAGTGGCAGTGGTAGCAGGTGGTATCATCTAGGTGGACCCCCCACCCAGTAATAGTGACTATGAGGGATCATAGGGCTTATATGCGTGTCCTCTTGTATTCCTATTATACCAGTATTACAGGGTGGGGGGGTCCTCCCAAGGCATCACCCTAAACCCTAAACCCTAAACCCTGGCATCATGCAAGTCCCACGAGCACCCACTGCCTGTGAGGATGTGGCCTTGTACAGCAAAGAGAAGGCTTCTCGGCCATTTATCTTGGAACACTTTGCGTCATGGTCCTGAGCTTGGGACCCTTTTTGTTTAAGGTTTAGGGTTAAGGGTTTAGGGTTTGGGAACTCTCTTAGAATCCTTTGCTATCAGAGGGATGGGGAAACCCTGGTAGTAAACCTCAAGCCTTTCTTGAGCCCTAAACCCCAAAACCCTAAACCCCACACCCTAAACCGCTGCAGGCCGAGAAGATGGCAGGATTCGTATTCTGGTCATCTTGGGCCTGCGTCACCGAACGGCCTGGAAAGACCCACACCTACACGAACAACTGGCCTCAGGAGCCCGGCTCGCTGTTGAATAACATTAGGGTTTTGTCCCCCTACAATGGAAAATCAAATGGAAGAGAGAATGGCAAATGAAATGGAAACTGGGGGAATACAGGGAGTTAAGGAACTTAACTTAAGTTACCACAAACGGGTATGTGTAGTACTTAATAGTGTTTCCACAATAGTAACTTAAATTAAGTTCCTGAACAGCAACCAACTGGCCTCAGGAGCGGTTGGTGGGCAACCGTGTCTCACCCGAGGCTCCCGCGACTGCGGGCATTCTTGTGCTCCTAGATTCGTCTGGTTTCCATTGCCAGTTGGGGACTAATCCCTAAGCCATAGTGTCACAGACCCTATACTCCCTAGTTCCCTAAACCCTAAGCCATAGTGTCACAGAGGCTATACTCCCTGCACCCACACCCCACCTCCCGAACCCTGAACGCTCATCCCACCAAGTCGTAATCCCCAAGTCCCAGACCCAAAAGCATCAAGCCGCAACCCTAAATGAGCTATAGTCTAAACTCCTTAAAGGAGGTTATATAGGGTATACATATATGTAGGTGTGTAGGTATAGTTTAGGGTTTAGGGTGTACACCCCTTAAAGGGGCTTATATAAGAGATTACATAGGGGAGTATGATAGGGGTTATTCAGGGGGATACTAGGAGTTAAGACTATAGCTCAAATCCTAAAACGCAAGCCTCACTCCCCATTGAAAAACCAGACCCCCCAATCCTAAAACATGCCTCGAGTAACCGTCAAACCCTAGAAGAGAGGTAAAGATATCCTATATCAGCCACGAATTCCTTTTGGTAGTTGCATGGGTTAATGTAGGTAAACACTAATCTCTGCCTGGCGCTGAATATGGAATGGGGAACCGGAATCATGAAGATATTTTGTAGATGTTCCATCAAAAAGGGGCCTATGAATTCTCATTAGCTGACTTTCTACTAACCCTAAACGCCAAAATACTAAACCCCTAAACCCAGCAGCGTTAAGCTCCCAAATCCTAAAACCCTGAACCCCTAAAACCTTACCCTAAACCCTATACCCTTAGCCCTAAAACCCTAAACCCCTCAAACCCTAAACCCCTAAAACTTAAACCCCTGAACCAGCTGCCCGGAGGTGATCGTCTGGTCCCTGGCCTCAGTGGCCTTGCTGGTCTTCGGCATCGGGGCGCTCGCATGGGTCCGATCTGTGCATCACAGCGAGTAACGCGGCTAAGGTTAACGGTTGACGATTTCCCTCCCTCTATTAGTAAAACCTCCCCTGCGCTCAAAGTAACCAAAATCAATATACGAAAGTATACCACAAAGGAACGTCTAATGTTAGATCGGGTGGGGGTTAGGTTAGGGTTTCGAATGGGGAGGGAAGTTTTGAGTTTGGAGTGCAGCCAGGGAGGGTCGCTTTGTGCTTTCTCTTGGCTTTGGCAGGATGTGGGGCCTGCAGGAGTTTTGCTACTCCAAGATCTTAGGGCGTGTTGAGTTGTGTCAAACTGTTAAACCTGCTGGTGCACAGGGTTTAGCTGAAAGTTAGGAATGCTTTAGGGTTTAGGGTTTTGGGTACCTCAAGAGTTCGGGGAAGGAGCGAGGCTTAGCGTTCAGGGTAGGTAAGCCCTGATGAGGATCGATGTTGACGTGTGAGCCTAAGTGGGTAGCATGATTCCTGATGCCTTCTTAGCCTGGGTTGCTGTTAAGGAACTTTCTTAAGTTGCCATCATATGAGCATATGGTGAGTAATGGGGTTCAGTATTGCAGTAGTGTAAGAAAAGTTACTGCATAGCGAGCCAGTAGCATAAGTATACCAGAATCTACCTACCAGGGTCCTTATGTTCCTATTGCATTCCTGCTATATTCTTGGGGTCTCCCTTTTGGGGTGCCCATCAAAGTCCGTTTCATGTTCAGCGGCCCCAGCAGCCTCATCATGTCCCCCGGCAGATTTTGCTAAGGCTGCGGAAAGGTGACGGGGCCTCCACCTAAGACCCTGTAAAAATGTAAAAGGGTGTATAGGGAACATGGTGACAGATAGGTGTGTGCATGGATACATAGCGATCTTTTGCCCCTGCTACCTGCTCTCCTCTGCCAGTCATGTTCCAGACCGCTGAGCTCTAAACCACCTTAGCAAAAAAGCGTAGATAAGTATTACCAACATCCTGGTCCTAGATTCCTTCTATAATTATGGTACAGGCTACCTCAAGTAGACTTCAAGATGAGCTTGCAACCCCAAAAACCCTAAACCCAAAATTTGGAACCCCCAAACCCCGCAAACCCTAAACTCTAGAATTCTAAGCCCCACACCTTCTTTCATAAGATGAAGGCAAGGACAGCTCCCCGCACCCACGGAGGATCCGCTGAAGGACTTTAGGCTTCAGCTTGTTTTAAAGGGTTTTAGGGCTTCTTGTGCTTCAGGGCATTCAGGATTATAGGTCTTCAGAGGCTTTACTAGGGTTTCAATCTTTTGCGTTTTCGGCTTTATGGGCTTTACGGCTCCCGAACCTGGTATAGACCTCACATACCATTGGCTTGAGAAGCGCCATCCTGCTGTTTTCTAAACTCATGGGTTCCCCTACTAATGTAGACCCCTTATTAATAAACCCCCTCCCCTTAATAGGGATTATGATAGGGATCCTAGTACTTAGGCCCTTAAAAGGAGGGGGCTTATTAATCATGGGTCTACGTTACCCCCTTCCTTCCTTAAACCCTAAGCCCTACTGTAAACCCTCTATGCTACACCCCCTAGGTGACCTAGGCAGGGGTAGTATCAGGTGGGTAGTTGGGGAACCCATGATGAAAGCTTCGACCCAGCAATACCAGTTCGGCGTTTGGTGCTACCTGTCTGCTTTTACACACTTCTTCAGAATCATAGTATCATGATTCCGTTGGCGATTGCCAGGGTTAGAGTAGTCTGTCTGTCTATGTGTTGCTTAGTTTGGAATTGAGTGGCTGGATCCCTAAAATAGTCTTCATATAATTTGATGTAGTGGTCCCTATAAACCATGTCCCCTTTCCCTACGAAGCATCAGGCAACAGTTTTCAGGGGCTCATCCGAGGAAGAGTTGCGTGACGATTGGCATGGCCTGCTCCAAGGGCTTAGGTTTTAGTGTATGGCTTGGATGACATTGTGGAAGCCCGGAGGACTTCGTGGTGACGCCCTCAATGGCTTCCATGATCAAGTGGGTCTATGTCGTCTTCTTCTTAAGCGGCTTCCAGATTTGCCTCGGGGTATACACGATCCACCTGACCATTGAGGGCAACATGGGCTTCCCGAACTGGCTTACTCAGCACATCACCTACACAGCTCCTTGTGACTTATAGCGATGCCCATACCTGAAGCGTACTCAAAGTAGTTCCTACCGAACAGACGCAGCGTACAGTAAGAGAGCTATATGAATGCAGACTGGAGTGCTACTTCACAGGTCAAGACAACACAAACCTGAGATCTTGCACCTTTGAGGCAGGTCTAACATTCGCTGGTTGGCACTGCAACTTCATTTCTAGGCATGTTTTGATTTTTAGGGCTGTTGCTTAATAAAACCCAGGGAAATAGTTGAAACCATTGTTCGTGGAGAGTTCCAGCACAGAGTCAGACCTTTCTGAGCAGCAGTCAAGGTTGCACGCACGTGGCACACGCAATCTGCAGTCTTTGCCACTGGGCCCTTCTTGGGCTGTAGACTTGACATGGGATTCTTATGCGATTTCTTGGCTAGGTTACTATGTTGAAGAAATGTACGGAGCCTGTCACTAGGAAGGAGGTTATTTGAAGGGCTGTAGGTACTTGTCTCTCAAGCTTCCCAAAACATCACCCAAATCATGCACTCTCAAGGCTATCATCACCTATACAACCCCCCTTTAAGGATTCAAGAACGCAGGTCCGCTCCACAAGGCTTTTAACAACCAGGATGGTTTAGGGTTTTGGGTCAAAAGAGTGTGTAAATGTGACGGGTCAGGGGGACTCCGCAAGTATAGCTAGAATCCTTATAATCCACACCACTAACCCAAACTTATCCATGCTTTTGAGCTACTTACTCAATCCCCCTGACCCTCCAAGCATGCCTTCTCACAACAAAATTCTAGCCCTTGCATCCCGTCAGTGCTAAGTTTCACATCCCCTTACGCCGAGCTTAGAAGGGCCTAGAGCTTAGTCCACACCTGCTGGGCTCAGACCTTGGGTCCTCTAAAGCCGACCCTAGAGGCCCAAAACTCTACATGCTAAAGAAATACCTATCCCCAAAGCTAAGCCCCACATTTCCCAAAGCCAACAGTACCCTTTAAACTCCAATCTTACAGATCCTAGAATCTATAGGCTTTACCCTACGTTTTGAACCCTGACCTAACGCTAACTAAACCCTATAGACCCGAAACGCCCAAAGGACCCTACACCCTAGACCCTCAAAAGCTGGGTTGCTGTTAAGGAGCTTAATTTAAGTTACTATATTGGGGAAACCCTATGAATTACTACATATACCAATTATGGTAACTTAATTTAAGTTCCTTAACAGCAACCCTCAAAAAGGCCATTGCGACCAGCTTCCTGTCAGCCGGCTTGTTTCTAGCACCGGCCATTGGCGGGCGCAAGGAGGATCCACCTCTGCATCTTGCTGGCAGACCATGAGCTCCTGACTGGGCTGCTGTTAAGGAACTTAAACTAAGTTTCCATAACGGGTGTATATAGCAATTAGTTTAGTTCCTAAATATGGTAACAAAATTTAAGTTTTTCGAGCTACCATAAGGGGTAAATATAGTAGTTAATATCGTTCCTAAATGTGGTAACTTGATTCAAGTTCCTTAGCAGCAGCCCAGTTGAGGCCCCCTCCCCTGTAAAGCAGGCCAAAGGGGTTACAGCGGGGTTCACAGGGTTGGGGGTTTAGGGTTTAGGGCACCATTCAATTAAGTAGAATTACGGAGATTCAAAGTCAAACGAACATGGCAACTGGAACATAGAGATTAGGTTTTGTCACGTGCCTTGTGTACACCTTAAACAGTCACATTTCACGTATAACTGGAGAATCCGGTTATAATTTGTGGCAATTTTTAAGGGTTCCATAGGATGTCCGGCCAATAGGACTGACCCTGTAAGTATTCCTCCACTGCCTGAAATCCTCTTGGGGACAGGGTTAGCTAAGGGACTGTAGAGGTCCTGTAGAGATGTTGAGGGGGGGGGGTTCCCCTAAACCCTGAACCCTAAACCTTGAACCCTAAACCCTAAACCCTGAACCCTAAACCCTTCCCATGGGCTATCAAGGGAAAAAGGGCTTAGGATGTAGGCGGTCTAATCAAGTCACCGAGCTGAGGCTTTGGGACTTCATGTGAGCTACAGTCTAAACTCCTTGTAGTTTAGGGTTTAGGGTTTAGGGTTCTAGTATTCCCTATAATCTGGGTAGGCCCCGGGGATATTTGATATTTCCCTGATGGCTTTAATAGGGGACCCTATATATTGATATTTTTCAAAGGGTTTTAGGGGCCAACCCAGTAATGGTACCCTATACATTTCCCTTTCATGGAGTGTAGACTATGGCTCGTATGGTTTACCTTTTTGAGAAGTTTCAAATGTGGTCAGAGCGTACTCCTGTACGTCAATTGCTCCGAGACTGTTGTCAAGGTCCAGTTCCAACGTAGGTATGCTGACTCCCGAATAGCAGTAGGAAAGCTACACGATCGCACAGCTTGGGTCTTTGCAGTAGAGGCCCCAAAGGCCATATGCTGCATGAATAAGGCAGGATCTGCGAGCACCGCTGTTGATCTTAGAAATCATGTGTGATCTTGTTAGATAAGAACTAATCTCATAGTTTGGAAGACACAAGGTACTGAAAGTCATGCTGGATTGTTAGCATCAACCGTATCAGGAAGATTTCCGGGCACCTGGTTTTGGCTTCATTTCTGAGGGGCCAAGAATCCAAATTGCAACATCTAGGTACTTAGACCCTCAGGCTTCGGAACCGTAAACCTGCAATCAAATCTCTAGTTACTTGGACCTTGAGGGTTTTTGAACCCCCAAAACCCTAAACCCTAAACCTTACACCCTAAGCCCTATAATCCTGGTTAGTCAGGCAGAAGCCACTCTGCGACTTTCTCTTCGTGTGTTTGCTGGTGATCGTCGGCGGGTCCATGGCTGGCCAGGCCGGCGCATCAGAAGCACAGCTTAGGGTTAGAGGGTTTAGGGTTTAGGGTTCATGGTTAGGGTTTAGGGTTTAGGGTTCATGGTTTAAAGGGGAGTCGTGCTGTGCTAATTATGTAGCCTTGCCACTTCATCAGGAGTTCTAATGCTCAGACTGTTGATAGAGATGTTCCAGCATGGGCCTAGAACATGTCGTGCTCGGAATCCTAGTGTTGCTTTGTACGCTAGTAGGGTCTACATGGTTATTACTCACGAACATTTGGATATTGGGCATGTTAAGTTGTAGATGCATATCGAGCCCTTGATTTCAATTTGATTAACATTACTCCCATACAGACCGTTCCTGTCTCCATAAACAAACCTTACCACAGCCCACCACCGGCCACGTAATAATGAATATATATATATATGTACATGTAATATACTCTCATTCCAAACCCTAGACCCTCATATAATGCAATCATGTTGGCAAGCTTCATGATAAGAGGATTTCCTGAAAATCAATAGGGTTTAGGGTTTAGGGAATAACAGTAATTTTTACGAGTGTCCAGGGCGGAGAACGGATCCTTCCACCTTATGAGGTTGAGCAATAATAGTAAGAACAGTAATAGTGGCTTAGGGTTAGGGATTTAGGGTTTAGGGTTTAGGGTTTAGGGTAATTGCGATAAGAGGATCGCTGGAAGGATGTGGTTCATGCATGGATCGAGTTTTAACTTGCTTGGTACTTGTCAGGTGGCTGCCATCACCCAAAGCTTCCAGAGCCTCCTGATGAGCCAGTACTTTGGTCACCAGGGCTATGAGTATGTCGAGCTGGGTCGTTTCTACCAATACTTTCTGCTGGTGGGCCTGCTTCTATGGTTACTGCTTATGGTGAATGCTGTCCACCCTGCCTTGCGTACGCCGAGTTTCATCACCAAAGATGCGCGAGGAAACTGGGTTGCTGTTAAGGAACTTAATTTAAGTCACCATCAGGGTATATATGTATAGTATAATTAGGTTTCCCCAATATAGTAACTTAAAATTCAGTTCCTTAACAGCAAACCAGGAAAGTGGCACCTCGTGGTCATCATCACATGCGCAGCCGTCCTGATCTCCTTCTTCTGGGCTTCTGGCCTGATGTACAACGCTCGCTCCAACCTAGCCGTCATGGACTACTGGCGCTTCTGGATTGTTCACATGTGGGTAGAGGGAATGTTCGAGGTCTTCATTACTGTGGTGGTCGCGCAGGTCTTTGTGATGCTCGGTGTCCTAGACCCATCCGCAGCCGCTGGAGTCACCCTTTTCACGAGTGGTGTCTTCCTCTTCGGTGGCATCCCGGGCATGTATCACCACAACTACTTTGCAGGCACTCCCTCCATGATCATGGCCATTGGCGCTTGCTTCTCTTGCCTGGAGGTGTGTCCGCTGGCACTGATGGGCATGGAGGCCAGCGAGTACATTGCCTTGGAGAAGGCTTCGAAGAAGACTTAAAGACGAAAACCGAACATATGGGGTTTCCTAAAATTAGGGGTATCTTTTTGGCGGTCCCAATAATAAGGGCATTGTGTATTGGGGTCTATATTGCAGTCCCCTTATTTTGGGAAACTACCATATCACCCCGCTTTGTTATGATTTAGTAACCCTGGAAAAGGTAGCGAGGAAGACAGAAAGCTCCTGGCTGATGAAATACAAGCCCATCATCGACTGCTTCATCTACGTGGCCTTCTGGAACTTGGTGGGACGTTGGCAGAACAGTCCCTGTACATTCCCTTTTAGAGGTCCCTACTGTCCCTGAGTAATCAATCCTTCTCAAGTCCCCCCACTTTGTAAAAGCATACCCATAACCCCGAATCCTAGACCCTTAATCCGGAGCATTACATCTTAGATCCTAGAACCTCAACTCTGATTCGGAAACCCTGAACCTTAAATACTTAAATGTTGAACCCTACCTAGGGTAACCTTATGCTTAGCCAAAAATTGAAAATACCGAAATATTACTAACAAAGCCCCGTTTCATGAATACACAGGTTATTCAGGTAAGCCCTAAAAACCCCTAAACCCTAAACCCTAAAGGTGGGAGCCGGCTTCCTGGGCTTCATTATCAACCCTCCAGTGTCGCAGTACTACATGATTCTGGGTTGCTGTTAAGGAACTTAAATTAAGTTACTATATTGGGGAAACCCATAATGGGGTTTAGGGTTTA